TTGTCAGCAGATCCATTGATTTAAAGTAGCGTGCTATGTATAAAATAAAAATCACCGCAACACTTTCAGAAACACCATGTCTACTTCTTCCGTCCCACAGGATGTCTGCTTTGGACTATTGGGCAGGCTGTCTTCTAATCCATCTCGCAAAACGTCTCCCAGTCAAGAGGCGTTCTGAGGCAACGTCCATAAAAAACAATAAGACCGCCATCACTAAAGCCTCTCAACACAGAATCATAAATAGTTAAACAGCAGCCAGAAGCATAAAAAGCCAATTTAAATATATTGCTCAATAAAAGCTGGCAGTTAACAAACGAATCAAAGCAGCCTGAAAAAAAGGGATCTCCACAAACTGGGTGAGCGGGCGACACTGTGGCAAATGAAATTCAGTGTTGCTAAGTATAAGGTGGCACATATTGGGACAAAAAATCCCAGCTTCAAGGACAGGCTAGTGGGGTCTGAACTGGCGGAGGCTGAGAAGTAGACAGCTCAATGAAAGTGTCAACCCAGTGTGCTGCAGGGGTGAAAAATTCTGTAAGAGAAAGAAGAAGAAGAAGAAGAAAAAGAAGGGATTGGATTTATACCCCGCCCTTCACTACCCAGAGGAGTCTCAGAGAGTGGCTTACAAACTCCTTTCCCTTCCCCTCCCCACAACAGACACCCTGTGAGGTAGGTGGGGCTGAGAGAGCTCTGACAGAAACTGCTCTTTTTCAAGAACAGCAGTGCCAGAACTATGGCTTGCCCAAGGTCATCCAGCAGCTGCAAGTGGAGGAGTGGGGAAGCAAACCCAGTTCTCCCAGATTAGAGTCCGCGCACTTAACCCCTACACCAAAGAGATTGACAATAAAATGGACAATATTGTCATGCCCCTGTGTAGATCTATGGTGCGGCTTCATTTGGAATACTGTGTCCAGTTCTGGTCACTGTATCTCAAAAAGGACATTGTAGAGCTGGGAAAAGTACAGAGGAGGGCAACCAGAGGGATGAGAAGATTGGAGCCCCTTCCCTCTGAGGAAAGGCTGAAGAGTCTGGGACTTCTCGGCTTAGACAAGAGATGAGTAAAGGGGGACATGAGAGAAGATTATATTATGCATGGAGTGAAGAGAGCTGACAAAGAACTTTTTCTCCCTCTCCCAAAATACTAGCCCTCAAGGGCATCCAATGAAGCTGATGGACAGTAGGTTTAGGACAGACAAAAGGCAATACTACTTTACACAGATAGTGATTAACACGTGGAATTCGCTGCCGGATGTAGTGATGGCCACAGAAATAAACAGCTTTCAAAGACAGATTCATGGAGGATAAGTCTATCAATGGCTACTAGCCATGGTGGCTGAGGGGAACCTCCACATTCAGAGGCAGAAGAAGAAGAGGAGGAGATGAAGAAGATTGGATTTATACCCCACCCATCGCTACTCAAAGGAGTCTCAGAGGGGCTTACTATCACATCCCCTTCCTCTCCCCACAACAGACACCCTGTGAGGTAGGTGGGGCTGAGAGAGCTCCAAGAGAACTGCCCATGAGAGAACAGCTCTGAGAGAACTGTGAGTGACCCAAGGTCACCCAGCTGGCTGTATGTGGAGGAGTGGGGAATCAGGCACGACTCTCCAGATTAGAGTCCACTGGTCTTAAACCACTACACCAAACTGTGCACATCCTGTTCGCTTCTAGAGTTGCCAGCTGCCTGGGGGGGGGGGGACCTGTCCCTTTTATCAGAGGTCTAATGGGATCTCACTTTAGGGGCAATGTTATTTCCCTTGCTCCCTGCCATTAAAGCTTCAGCTGCCCATTTCCACCTATGAAGCCTGTATTCAAGGGATGGGAAATTATTCTCCAGGCCTGTTGGCAACTCCCTGTACACTATGCCACTATACCAGTTCTCTGTGTCTGGTCTAAACTACCCTAGCATCTGAATATTCTGCAGAAATAAAAACTCGAGGCCTAAAGACTAACAAATCCCAGTGTAACAAAGTCAGAGTCCAAGACCAAGAAAGTTTTTTTCTGCATATAAGCTTTGGTGTGCGTGCACACTTCTTCAGATACAGGCATGCACACTAAAGTTTATACCCAGAATAAAACTTTGTTGGCCTTAAAGGTGCCCTTGGACTCGGACTTTGTTCTGCAGCTTCAGACCAACATGTCTACCCAACTGAATCCCTGTCTAAGCTTTCACAAAGCTCCCGTCCTCTTTGTACTGCAACAGACTAACACAGCTCAGCCTCCAGTTTTGAGGTGGGTCCACATAATAGACAGCTATTAGGCACGATTTGCAGCCGTCTGAGAAATGTACAGGACAGAAGTCAATCCAAATGCAACATACAAGGCGCAGTCAAGCCACCTCCTGGAAAGGCGCTGTGGGAGCAGCAAGCGTTAAATCCACCGAGTTCCGCCTGATTCCTAGAGAGGCCCGGAAACGTAAAAAGGTGGGTTCGGCCGTAAACCACAAAGCGTTGGAGTTTTGATGGTTCTCTACAATGACTTCCGATTCTGAATTGAAGGGAGAAGAGTGGCTGGAAGTCTTTTTTGAAAATGATGTCAAAATGCAGTTAGAAATAATTTGACTGCGGGAGAAAAATATGCCTTTTCTGGAAGAGTTCTCTTTCTCATCTCCACCCCCAGCAGACCCTCAGGAAGAGCAGAAATTAAAAATGTAGTGTTGGGTATGGCTTTTCCTGTTGAATTGCCACCTGCCTCAGTCTCTAGGGGGCCTTAATAACTGTCCGGCTGCTTTTTTTAATTGCTCAGCCTTGGAAGCTTGTCTAGTCATCCGCTCCCCAAAAGAAAATAAGAGGAGGGTAGATCTCAGCTGATAGTGCTTAGAGCCCACCCACCTACCCCCATGCACACACACAGAAGACCTGGATTCTTTGACTTGTAAGCTTTGCATAGGAAAAATTGGATGTCAATAAATGCCAGCTTTTGACATTATTTCCCCCCAACACCCCAGTGTCATTTTGTTTTCACAGCAACCCTGTGAGGTGGACCTCCTGATGGCGCCTGGGTTTTGGCCACTGTGTAACATAGTATGTTGGACTAGATGGGCCTCTGGCCTGATCCAACATGGCTTCCCTTATGTTCTTAGGTATCTTGGACAGAGAAAGAAGAACCAATTGCCCAAGATCACCCAGTGAAACTTCCTAGCTAAGCAGGGATTTGAACTTGGCAAGCAACTCTACCTCTGAACATCTCTTGCCTTGAAAACACTACGGGTTTGCCATAAATAGTCTGCGACTTGACCGGGGGAGGGACGGGGGGACACCCAGAGGGGACCCAAGGCTTTGGATATGGATTTCTATTTAATCCCACCGCTCTTGCCCCTCAGATGGAGAATTGTTATCGGAACCGGAAGTGTGGGTTGGGGGGAACTCTTAGGTTAATGGGGGGGTTAATCTTCCCTTTTGGCTGTAAACAGACCACAGAAGCCGCTTCCTGTCCTTTTATCCCCCTGCTTTATTCCCGATGGAAAATTGGCAGTTGAATTTATTTTCCTTGGTGGGGAGGGAGAGAAAGTCAGAACTGCATTGCTACAATTTTCCAAGCCAGGCGGGTGGGGGAGTGCCTGCCTACCCTGCAGGGAGAGGTGAGTGAAGGGGGGGGGCAGGGAGAAATGCATAAAAATTGCTGGAGAGGTAGGGAAGAGCTGGATTGTGAAATCAAGGCAGGGCAGGGTGTCTTGGGAGCAGCCGCTCTTTTAAAGTTGAAATATTTTCTGGGGGAAGTTGGTACTCAGGTTCCCAGTTGCACACCTTCAAAATTGTGGAAAAGAGCAAGAGTCCAGTAGCGCCTTTAACAAAATCTGCGGCAGGGGATGAGTCACTGCTCACTTCTTCAGATACTCACGTTGCTAGTCTTTCAGGTGCTCCTGGGGTCTTGCTCTTTTCTGCACCCTTTTACAACCAACAGGGGTGAGTTTGTCATCTCCTAGAAATGGCTTTTGTGGCCCCCAATTTGTAGAATCCCCAGCATCCGCTACTGGCCCTGTTCTAAAGAGAGTGCTCTCTTGAAGTATTGGAAGGGCTGTCGCTTAGAGGAGGGCAGGGAGCTGTTCCTGTTGGCAGCAGAAGACAGGACTCACAATCGTGGCTTTAAATTAAGGGCGGGAAGGTACCAGCTGTTGTAAGGACTTCTGAGGTAATGAGTACTTTGGACACTTGAAAAAACATTATATGCTTCCAGAGTGGCCATTTCTCCAGGTGAACTGATCTCTGTTGCCTTGGAGAGCCGTTGTAATCTCAGGAGATTTCCAGCCACCGTTTGGAGGTTGAATTCCTCCTGTGATCTCTTGTTTTTGGCTTCTACCAGGGCTCTTTTTGTAGAAAAAGCCCAGCAGGAACCCATTAGCATAACAGGCCACACCCAACAGCAGAAACTCATTAGCATATTAAGCCACACCCCCAACACCACAGCTCATTAGCACATTAGGCCTCACCCACGTGTTGCCATAAGTGTGGTTATCCAGCCACACCCACCTTTTGCTTGTTATTCTGTTTACCTTGTTGTCAAAACCCAGGGCTTTTTTTGTAGCAGGAACTGCATGTTAGGCCACACACCCCTAATGTAGCCAATCCTAATTAGTTTCTGCTGTTGGGTGTGGCCTGCTATGCTAACGAGTTCCTGCTCGGTGTGGCCAACTTGGGAGCCAGCCGGAACTCCGTTCCTGTGCGTTCCTGCCCAAAAATCTGGAGATTGGCAACCCTAGTTACTGGGGGTACGCAAAACAAAAAGAAAGGGTATTCACCCACTGGTGAAAGACAATGGTGGAGGGAGTTGCGTGAATTTCCCTGGGGGAGGGAGTGCCAACCTTTTGGCTCCTTGACTGAGAAGGCCCTTCCTCCGGTTGCTGCCCATCTGGCCTCAGGGGGTGGGGGCGCCTGAAGCAGGGCCTCCAGAGATGATCAAAGACGATGGGTAGGTTCACGTGGGTTGGCTAAAGTGGGATGTTCTCGTAGTTGTATTCTCTCATCTGTAGGTTTTCTTTTCCCCTCAGAGGAGAAGCCTCTTGCTTTGCCCACCTCCTGCTGTGGACGGCCATTTGGCAAGAGAGTCTCGGAGTGATCGTGCACTTGACTCAAAGCGGAGTCCTTCGGAAGCCAGATGCTCCCCCTCCCACCTTTGGACTGAGAGATGGAGACCTTGAGCGTGGAGGTGAACATGTCTGTAGAGGAAGGGGCAGCGATGGCGGCGGAGCTGGAAAAGGAGGCCCAGAAGGCACCCCGCTATAAACTATGGGCAGGAGTTAAAGCCCCACAAGTTGTCCACACCGGTACTATTGGAGAGTTGCAGATGGTGGCTGCTCCAAAACAGATGAAACGTGAACCAGAGGAAGGGTTGCAGCAGCGCTGGGAAGCCCAGTGGCAGGAGTTCCTGAGGATGCTTCAAGCCCCTGACTCTCGGTGGGGGAACCCACGGGTGGCCACTGGACCCACACCCTGGGAGGATGCTAAGGCTTTCCTGGCCTCCTTTGAGCAGGTTGCGTCAGCTTGTCGATGGCCTCACGACAAGTGGGTGACCCTCCTCTTGCCGGCCCTCAGCGGAGAAGCCGAGCAGGCCTTCAGAAGCCTCAGTGCCCAAGACAGAGAGGATTATGGGAAGGTAAAAGCGGCCATCTTGCAAAGAGAGGCTGTTGTGAGGGAGAAGCAGCGTCAGCACTTCAGGCGGTTCTGCTACCAGGAAGTGGAAGGCCCGAGAGTGGTTTATGGGAGACTCCAGCAGCTTTGCCGTCGGTGGCTGAAAACAGAGAGGCACTCGAAGGAAGAGATTTTGGAGCTGCTGATCCTGGAGCAGTTCCTGACCGTCTTGCCCCAGGAAATGCAGAGCTGGGTCCGGGAACGTGTCCCCGAGTCCTGTGCGCAGGCTGTGTCCCTGGCTGAGGATTACTTGTTGAAGCAGAACACACTGAAAGGGGAAGCTCAGGTATGAAAGTTTGATGCTGGCCATTCAACGGGCCCCTCGTTTCCTTTTCCAGACAACCAGGCTGCAGCCTGGCTAGGGTTGACAACCTCCATATGGGCAATGAACAAAAAGCGAAGGTCACGGCTACAAGAAACAATTGCAAAAAACACAAAGAAGCTGCCACACAGAGCGCTGCAAGTGTAAATATATTAACACGTACAAATGTCACAGTATATCAAAGTAGATAAATATTACTCAAAGAGTCCTTTTTAAGGAATCATAAGAAGACGTTGACGAAATTCCCCAGAGTATGCTTCCGTTTCGTACTGTACTTCTTCTGAACGTAGTAAGCTGCAGAGCAGTGTTCCCTCTAAGCTGAGTTAGTGTGAGCTGGCTCATAGTTTTTAAGCCTCTGGCTCACACATTTTTATCTTAGCTCAGGAAGGATGGCTCCAGAACAAACTAATTTATGCAGTAGCCAAATGGCTCACTCACAACTTTAATGCCCGTAGCTCACAAAGTAGAATTCTTGCTCACAAGACTCCACAGCTTAGAGGGAACATTGCTGCAGAGGTACCTCTGTCAGCATACCCGTCCTTGAGAGTTACTAAGTGTAATGGATGAGGACCATCTTGAATATTTTTCTGAATGATTGCAATCCATCATGAATGAATAATTGGAGGACACAAATTTTGTTTACCTGACTACTACTCTTTGAATAATATTTATCTACTTTGCGATACTGTGACATTTGTATGTGTTAATGTATTTACACTTTGCAGCGCTCTGGGTGCGGTCAGACGGCATGCTGGGAGCGGTTTAAATGGCTCCGGACCCGATGTGTGTTTTTTTTAACCTGGAGAATCACGATCACACTCACCTCCTTGTTCTGGATCGCTGCGCAGCCACATTGCTCCCCGCCGTCCACACACAGGAGCGTGCATCGGTGGGTTTTCCCCCCTCTCAGTTTGGGCATGCGCACAGGGGGCCATCTGTAGAATTAAAATTTTCACACGTGCACAGAACAGCGATTTCCACTTCAACCCAACTGCTGTAACACTTCCCTTTAAACTTTAAAGGAACACTTCCCTTTAAACTTTTACCCCGAAACTGGCCTCCGTGAGATCCCGAACCCGTCTAACCAACAAAACTAGGCACTGTTTAAACATTGTTTTTAATAACATGGGAGCGGAGCTCCGCCCATGTGCATACCGCCAACGCTAAAATAAAATGGTGGGTGAAGAGCGGAAGCCTTGGGCTTCCGAGCGGAAGTGACTCAACACCGCAGGAGTGATCAGATGTTAGAAAAGTGCGGCTAGAACCGGAGAATCAGGAAAACACCACTTGGGGACCTGGTAACAAAATACTCTGTTTTAAAGGGGGTCTGAGCTGGGGGTGGTGCGCAGACGTTGGGTGTGTGAACGTGGATATAAAATCCGTTACTGAAGTGTGCCGAAAGCGGACTAGACGGCCTGTCTGAACGCACCCTCTGTGTGTTCTTTGTGCTTTTTGCAATAACCTCCATATGGGGCCTGGAGATCTCCTGCTTTTGTAATTGATCTCCAGACTAGAGAGATCAGTTTCCCTGTAGGAAATGGCAGCTTTGGAGGGTGAACCCTGCTGAGGCCCCTCCCCTCCCCAAACCCCGCCTTCCCCAGGCTCCACTCTCAAAATCTCCAGGTATTTCCCAACCCACAGCTGGCCACCCTGGGCCTCGCAGTCCCTGTGAGCAATCAGGGGTGGGGCCTGGTACACTGGCATCACACTGGCACACCTGCATCACTTCTACTTTAGATATGAAATGATGCAGGGGGAAGCTCTAGGGTTTCAAAAAAAAGCTCTATGGTTTTACTATAGAGTTTTTGCAAAATGCTAGAGCGCCCCATGTTACTTCCTGTTCAAACTGGAAGTTGCATCGAAGGGAATTGCTGGCATCCCGACGACAACTGCTGGTTCTCCAGGTTCTCAGACTTGGCAGAAATCCAGCAGGGCTTGGTTGCCTGAACAGACTCTGTGCCAAAAAAAGGGTTGGTAGCAATGTTCCCTCTAAGCCGTGGAGTCTTGTGAGCAAAAATTCTACTTTGTGAGCTACTGGCATTAAAGTTGTGAGCAAGCAATTTGGCTACTACATAAATTAGTTTGCTCTGGAGCCATCCTTCCTGAGCTGAGACAAAAATGTGTGAGCCGGAGGCTAAAAAACTGTGAGCTAGCTCACACTAACTCAGTTTAGAGGGAACACTGGTTGGTGGCCAGTTTTGTTTGAACCTACATTTTTTTACTAACATGTTTATCGGGCACGTTTATTGGGCTAAAGATATCGGGGGTGAGGGGAATTACTGAGTAAAGGGACATGCCCTTTTAAAATGGGACTCAGAAGGGAGGGTCAGCGTTCCTTGATACTCACCAAGATCTGGAGGAGTTAGCCATGTTCGTCTGTGGCTGCAAAAGGGTAGGAAGCCCAGTAGCGATTCTCTCAGAGCTGTTCTCTCAAGGGCAGTCCTCGAAAGAGCTCTCTCAGCCCCACCCACCTCACAGGGTGTCTGTTGTGGGGAGGGGGAAGGGAAAGTGTAGGCCCCTCTGAGACTCCAAGTTAAGGGCGGGGGTATAAATCCAATCTCTTCTTCTCCCCTGCTCACCTGAAAAGTTTTCTTTCTGTGGTTTCAGGTTTTGCCGCCTTCCGGGAGGGCAGGTGTGGATTCCTCCGAAACAGATCCAATTCCATCGCCTGACGGGTGGAAGAGTCAACTTGGCAAGGTTGGGAAGCCACCCAGGAAAGCAGATGGAGACTCGTGTGGTAAGGACTCGGGGCTGATGAGAGCTGCTAGCAGTGTTCCCTCTAAGCTGAGTTAGTGTGAGCTAGCTCACAGTTTTTTTAGTCTCTGGCTCACAGATTTTTGTCTGAGCTCAGGAAGGGATGGCTTCAGAGCAAACTAATTCATGCAGCAGCCAAATCGCTCACTCACAATTTTAATGCCAGGAGCTCACCAAGTAGAATTTTTGCTCACAGGATTCCACAGTTTAGCGGGAGCCTTGGCTGCTAGGTGTTATTTTTTTTAACACTCAGGATATTCTAAAATAGCAAATTAAAGAAATTGAATTAAAATAGCAATTTGAAGGAAGCTGGGCGTTTATTTTAAAAATGGCGTCATAGGGAAAACAAAGGAGAAGGAGTCTACAGTAAATCCATCCTCAACAGTAAACAATTTTGTTTTTTTGTTTTTTTAAGAAAAAAATTGTTTTCAAAACAAACAAACATAAAATTGGGATACAGCACTTTTAATTTTTCTTTTAAGGTTCAGAATGCGAGGAGAGTAAAAAGAGAATAATCCTGCCACTGAGGGGGGGGGGGACACACACAGAGAAGTGCCCCATAATCTCAATGGGTTGTCAATAAAAATATTAATTCTATCCCAGTATATAAATCTAATAAAATAAATATATAAAATCCTCCAAGGAGTTCATGGTCCCTCTCTGTTTGATCTTCACAACAGCCCTGTGAAGTAGGACTGCGTAACCAGAAGTGAGGTCAACACGTCACGGAACATTCTAGGATTCATCCAAAACTCTACCATAAGAACCATCGATTTTTGGGCAAATGCTAGCATGCCCCATGATGTGGTGACATCACTTCCATGATGTGGTGACATCGTGCGTGCACGTCACCCAGAAGTGACGTGGCCTCGCCGGGCGCGCCGGGGGTGCGGCTGCAGTCATCCAAGGGAAAAACAAAGCACGTCCCATGCTTTGGGGGTGGGGTTCCCCCCGGGGCCCAATCCACTGCCGGCGGGGAACAGGCCTCTGGGGCGGGGTTTTCCCTGCCCCACGGGGGGACTTGGCAACCCTACCAGTGTTTCCTCTAAGCTGGGTTAGTGTGAGCTCGCTCAGTTTTTTAGCCTCTGGCTCACAGATTTTTGTCTTAGCTCAGGAAGGGTGGCTCCGGAGCAAACTAATTTATGCAGCCACCAAATTGCTTGCTCACCACTTTAATGCCAGTAGCTCACAAAGTAGAATTGTTGCTCACAGGACTCCACAGCTTAGAGGGAGCATTGACCACCACCCGAGTGAGTGCTGGGGGGAGATGGAGAAGGACCAGTGGGGATTCCCTTGCTGGCAGCAAGCACAGGGCCACCCTGCTTCTCATTGCAGTTTTCGTTCTCCTGTTTACTTCTGCAGATGAGATGGAGGAGCCCCATCTCGGAGGTCCTGTGCTGGTGGCACTGAAAGAGGAGCTGCCGGAAGGAGACCACACCTTCCCCTGTTCCGCGGAGGTGACGGGGCTGCGGATTCAGCAGGGATCTGAGAAGGAAGAGGGAGAGCATCCCGAGGAGTCTGAGGCTGGGGCTGTTCTTTATTGGGAAGGTGACTCTGGGAGGGAGGTAAACAAGGCTCGGCAAGATATCGTGCGCAGCGACGGAGAATCGAGACTCGGCAACTCCCGATGGAGCTCTGGAGCTCCTGACCGTCAAAAAACCCGCCCTGCCGAGAAGGCGCCGTACCAGGAAGCAACCCCCAGCCCAAGCCCAGCCCCCGTGCGAAACGAGACGATCCATCCGGGAGAAAAATCCCATTGAAGTTCCTGTTGTGGGAAGAGCGTCTCTCAGAGCTCTGGCCTCGCGGCGCATGAGAAGATCCACACAGGTAAGGGAAACTGTGTAAATTCTGTGGGAATGGGCTTCCTTGGTATTCTGATCTTCAGTGGGGCAAGATAATCTATCCAGGAGAGAAAGCCCATTTATGCCCCATTGCAAGAAGGAAAAATTTCAGGCAAACATGTCTCACTCAGCAGATGGCTTTGGAAGGGGATCTGACAAATTTCAGGGAAGAGAGATCCACCAGTGGATGTGGTGGCTGAATGGAGTTTCCATATTCAAGAGCAGTGTACCTGTGAATACTGTTAGCTGGTGTAGTGGTTAAGTGCGCAGACTCTAATCTGGGAGAACCCGGTTTGATTCCCCACTCCTCCACTTGCACCTGGTTGGATGACCTTGGGCAAACCATACTTCTGGCACAGCTGTTCTTGAAAAAGAGCAGTTTCTGTCAGAGCTCTCTCAGCCCCACCTACCTCACAGGGTGTCTGTGGTGGGGAGGGGAAGGGAAAGGAATTTGTAAGCCGCTCTGAGACTCCTTTGGGTAGTGAAGGGCGGGGTATAAATCCAGTCTCCTCCTCCTCCTCCTCTTCTTCTTCTCTGCTAGTCAGCCTCTGGGAAAAACATGATACCGAAGTAGCTCCTATTTTGGTCCAATCCATTGGGGGTCCTCCAGTGTTCTTCGTGCTTAGTGACTATGTGATTAATACGTGCTGGAGAGAAACCCTTTCAGTGCTCTGGTTGCAGCAAAGGCTTTGGTGGGTTAATGATCCTTCATTACATGTAAGAGACTCCCAACAGGAGGGGGCGTGGAAATGCTCGGCAGGAAAAGATTCGGTCTGAACTTATGTCCCCTGAATCCAGACTGGGAAAGAAAAGTGTGTCCAGGGAGGGGGAAAACACAGTTGGTTATTTGATCAGACCTGCGGGTGTTGGTCTGACAGAAAAGAATCCAAAGGAAACAATAGAACTAATTTTATTTAGCTGTTTATACCCCTATTTTTCTCCCCTAGGTGGCTTACGGCTTTGTGCTCTCCCTCCAGCATATATTATCCTCTCAAAAACAACCCTGTGAGGTGGGCTAGGCTGAGGGTGAGACAGTTACAGGCCCAACGTTCAAACCTGGGTTTGTAGGGATAGTTCAAAACTCTTGAAAAATTTACATGCAACGACTTAATTATTATTTCATAGTTACCTTTCTCCGAGTGAGGCCCAAAACAGCTTACATCAATCGCTCCTCTGTATTAGCCTCATAAAAACTCCCCCAGATCTCCAGGGTAGGTTTTCCAGGTCTGGGTTGGGAAATACCTGGAGACTTTGGGGGGTGGATCCAGGAGAGGGCGGGGTTTGGGGAGGGGAGGGGCCTCGGCATGGTGCAATGCCATAGAGTCCACCCTTCAGAGCAGCCATTTTCTCCAGGGGAGCTGGAGATCAGTTGTAAAAGCGGGAGATCCCCAGGTCCCACCTGGAGGCTGGCAATGCTACACCAGGGGTTTCCCAACCAGGAGTCAGCAACCCTGGTTCTGTGTGTAAGACAGACCTTAGCCAGAGTGGTGAATTTTTCTTTTGTCAGGAGTGTCTGTCTCCTCACACAGGAGTGCTTGAGGGGTATCCTCTTCAGCCACTGGAGGTACAAGATCCATCCTCACGAAGAGACGAGTCTTCCCGGGGTTATGAAGAAGAAACACCACTTGGGAGACAAGAGGGGCCCAGGCCAGAGAAGAGCATGGAGGGCGCTCTTCCCAGCAGGGGAGGGAACGTCCGGTGGGAAGACGCCAAAGGCCTGCCCCGACTTCACCACTGCTACTGCGGAAGGAGCTTCAAGCACCGCTGTAATCTGAAGGCCCACGAGAGGACCCACACCGGCGAGAAGCCGCACAAGTGTTCCGACTGCGGGAGGAGTTTCGGCAAGGGGTCGACCCTCCGGGCGCACGTGCGGACCCACACGGGCGAGAAGCCCTACATGTGCTCGACGTGCGGGAAGAGGTTCACGACGCGCTCGGGTCTCCTGACGCACGAGAGGATCCACACCGGCGAGAAACCCTACAAGTGCTTGGACTGCGGCCGCAGGTTCATCCAGAAGTCGTGTCTGCTGGCCCACGAGATAAGCCACAAGGGAGAGAAGTCGTACACGTGCTCGGACTGTGGGAAGAATTTTGGGCACAGCTCAGGGCTTCGGGTGCATCGGAGAATCCATTCTGGGGGGAAAGCTGTAGAGAAACTCTGACCACAAAGGAAACCATGGCTGGATATTTAACTTGGAGAAAGCTGTATAGACTGGGGACACCCCCCCCCCCAATCTTGGAATGTAATGTTATTTGTGTATAAGCTATGTGATTGTTAGAATCACAGCTCTTGGCTGTACCGTGTCAGACTGCTGATTGGTTGTCCCCATCATTTTTAAGAGAGTTTCAGAGAGCAGCTGGGTTGGTCTGCAGAAGAACAGCTGGATTCGAACAGCTAGATTTTTTTGGGGGAGGTGAGCTTTCAAGAGTCGAAGCTCCCTTCATCAAATACAAGTAGGAATTCCCCCCAGGGCTAAATAGGGACATAGGTTTCTTATCTCACTACAGATGAAGAAGAAGAATATACCCTGCTTTTCTCTACCTTACGGACTCTCAAAGCGGCTTACAATAGTCTTCCCTTCCTCTTCCCAGCACAGGTACCTTGTGAAGTAGGTGGGGCTGAGAGAGCTCTGAGAGAACTGGGACTGGCCCAAGAACACCCAGCAGGCTTCGGGTGGAGGAAGAGTGGGGAATCGAACCCAGTTCTTTAGATTATAGTCCGCCACTCTTAACCACTACATCACACTGGCTCCCAGCTAGTTTTCAGTCCCAAAGCATTTCCCCTCTGCCCGAATCAAGCTGACTACAATGTGCCTTGCACCTCTGCATCCTGAGTTCCATTTTTGCAGACCTCCCTCCCACCTCCCGTTGGACATATAAGAACTCAAGGATCCCCATTCGTACTAATATCTGATGAAGGGAGTTTTGCTTTTGAAAGCTCATATCCCAAAATCCTTCTTGGTTTCTAAGATGCTATTGGACTCAAATGGAGCTCAACATATTTAGACGCTCTGAAAAAAAGATCCCTTCACCTAGAAAACTAGTGTGTCTGTGACCAATGTTCTAATCAAGCGTTTTCTCTGATATGCTTGTTTTCTACAATCAGGGATTTTCTGAAAAGTATAGAAACCATGAATGAGAATATTTATTATTTATTTATTTATTTATTTGGATTTCTATCCCGCCCTCCCCGAAGGCTCAGGGCGGCTAACAGGGCACAATGCCAGATAATAATAATAAGACAATATAAAATGTTAGGTTACAAATCGGCAATTAAAAAACAATTAAATAAACATCATAAAACATTTTTGGTGCTTCCCTATTCCCTAAACCAAGATGGTGTTCTCAATGGCATAGCTAGACAATCACAGCGGTGCATATCCCACTGCCCTGCCGTCCCCTAAAAACGTCCCGTTCCCTCCAATAGTGCCCGCACCAGCGATAGCAATATGCGAAAATCATAGGGCGTTGGTGGAACAGTGATGGTGGTGGCTCTTATTCGAAAGCCTGGCGGAAGAGCTCTGTCTTACAGGCCCTGCGGAACTGTACTAGGTCCCGCAGAGCCCGGATCTCCTCTGGGAGCTCATTCCACCAGATAGGAGCCGCCACCGAAAACGCCCTAGCCCTGGTCATCGCAAGTTTGGTGGTCCTGGGGCCTGGAACATCCAGGAGGTTTTGATTCCCCGACCGTAGTGCCCTTGGGGGAACATGTGGGGAAAGGCAGTCCCTTAGGTAGGCTGGTCCCTGGCCATATAGGGCTTTAAAGGTAAGAAGGGAATCCGGTACGCTATTGGAAACCAGTGCAGCGCTTTCAGCACAGGCTGGATGTGATCTCGTCTAGGAAGACCCATCAACAGCCTGGCTGCAGTATTCTGCACTAGTTGCAGCTTCCGAATTTGCAACAAAGGCAGCCCCCAATATGGGTTTTTCAGAGATGGATACAGTGATAGAAACAGTATTGGCCTTATTTGTATAGTCCTGACTTGACATTCTTGAGGCTTTTTTAAACAAAGCTTTTAGCTTGCCAGTTCTGTGTTTCTGCCTCTTATTTATATTGCAAAACTGTCTCCCTCATGTAAAAAATGAATAAATTATTTTTGGAAAGTTCACATCTTTAGTACAGTGGACCCAACAGTACCATTATTTTTCAGTTCTGTAAGCTAGTGTACAATTCCATTGTAAAGAAATAGCGATGTTTAGAGAGGGGTAAGGAGAATTGTCAGTTTCCTCTATGCTGTTGTAAAGAATTCATTTTTTTCCCCTGGAAGAAATTATTAATTTAATTTGCAAATAAAGGAGGAATAGAACTCAAGCTTTTTACCTAGAGTATCCAAGAAAGGTTGTGGCTTATATTCCTGTGTTCACATATAAAAATAGCTAATTCGCATAGGAAGGGAGTTATACATTCACTTAGTACCTAAACAAAGATCATGTCTTGTCCTGGACACATCCATCCCTCATCTTATCTTAGCTCATTACAGACTGTCTATGCATTACAACCAGCGTAAAGAACTCATTTTTAAAAGCATCTTGGCTTGGAAATATATCTTGGGCGGAGGAGGGGTATATGGTTCCACAAAAAAATGGAGATTTGTGTGTAATTTTTTTTGGGGGGGGGGTATTCATTTAGAGGACTGATACACTGCTCTTCTATTATAAATAAGAGTTTAAGGCCGCTTACATAACTAAAAACACATGATAAATAAATACCACCACCACCCCACAAAAAAAAACAAAAAAAAACTTTGAAGCATGCATAAAGCAACAACCTCAAAGGGTAGCCAGCAAGTGAACTGGAATTCCACTGCTGCATTAGCAGCAATTGGTAGTAAAAGTTCAAGGTTCAAGGCGAGGGGGGAAAACCATAGTTAATAATGGCAGTTAACACTTCAGATGCTGGAATACATCAGCGCAGGGCTATTTTGGGGCAGGAACACACAGGAACAGAGTTCCTGCTGGCTTCAGAGCTGGCCATGCCCACTACAGCCAAAACCTCTGCATGCGTGGCTACAGAGGGAAGGCCTGGAGAGCGACACACACCCCCAGCAACTCCGAGGCAAGCAGGCCGGGGGGGGGGGCTGGAACGATCGGGGAGACATTTAAGGGCCAGCTTGCCAGGCATCCCGCAGCCGTGGGGCAACTGGGCAAGTCAAGGGAAGACATGGGGGGGTGCCCAGGCAAGCCAAGAGAAGGTGTGGGGTGTGGCCTAATATGCTAATGAGCTGTGCTGTCAGGGGTGTGGCCTAATATGCTAATGAGTCTGCTGTTGGGTGTGGGCGATTATGCTGATGAGTTCCTGCTGGGCTTTTTCTACCAAAAAAGCCCTGCATCAGCGGAAGGTGGCCCATCTTCCCGGCTTCCTTCTTGCCTCAGAAATCTTTTCCAATCCCAGGAAAGTTTATTCCTGGGGTCACAGGGCTTGGCGTGGACTAATAGCCACGTGGAGCAGGAGGCTGCAGTTGGTGTGGTGAACAGTGCTGTCAAGTCGGAGCTGACTCATGGTGACCCTGTGGGGTTTTCAAGGCAAGAGACGTTCGGAGGTGGGTTGCCATTGCCTGCCTCTGTGTCACGACTAGGGCTGCCAAGTGGGGGCGGGTGGCAGGTAAACCCCCGCTTTGGAGGCCCGATTTCTGCCGCCGCGGAATCGGGCCCCCGGGGGGGAGCGCCACCCCCGCGTGCACATCACCAGGAAGTGACGTGGGCACGCTGGGGGCGGGGCCACGGCCATACAAGGGAAAACTATGGTTTTCCCTTATATGGCCGTGGCCCCGCCCCCAGCGTGCCTGGCATCCTCCCGTCACTTCTGGGTGACATGCGTGCAGCGCACACGGACGCAAAAGACACCGGCCGGGAGCCCCCCGCTCCCGCTGAAGATACACTTGGCAACCCTAGTCACGACCCTGGTATTTCTCGGAGGTTTCCTATCCAAATACTAGCTGGACGGACCCTGCTTAGCTTCCAAGACAGGATGAGATTGGGCTAGCCTGGGCAGGGCAGATGGCTCTCTAGGGGACTGGAACACTCACTTTGGGATCGAGAGGGTTTGGTTCAACGCCTAGAGAAGCCTGTGTTTGTGACTGGTGGGGGGAGAAACAAGGTGTATATCTTTAAAAATCTTTTGGCTGTTCATACCCTTCACAGCCTGGTCAGTGTTCTGCCTATTGTTATAGACAGTCAAATTGTTTTTAAAAAGCATAAGCACAATCCACAATGAAGCAAGCCATAAATACCAAAAGGATTCTCTTGGTTCTTAGAGACTGAAGCATTCATTGAAATTTAGTTAGTTAGTTAGTTCCGTTTGTATCCCGCCCTCCCCGCCAAGGCAAGCTCAGGGTGGCTTCCATTCAAAGTTAAAATACATTAAAAATTCATCAAACACAATACACATCATAAAAACTCATAAACATACAAATCGCAAGCAACAGTAAGTGCAGTTAAAGTGCTAATGACGGTATATCCTGATCTCTATAGGCCATGGTGTAGCCAATGTAACAAAAACATATGGCCATTGGCCAGAGGCTGTTGCTGTTGACACAGAGGGCCGTACCCCAGTTCAGGTGTTGTTGGTAGCGGCTCCTGATCAAAGGCCTGGTGGAAGAGCTCCGTTTTGCAGGCCCTGCGGAACTGTAAAAGGTAATGTAAGTTGTCATAGCCTACAGCCCGCTTTGGGTTCGGTGAACAGACAGAAATACCCGTGACCAATTTGTATCCATTTATTCTTTCACCCTGCTCAGGCTCCTACACAAACCTGTGAGATAGCGTTGCCAACTCTGGGCTGAGATATTCCTAGAGATTTGAGGGTTGGAGTCTGGGGAGGGTGGACTTTAGGGAGGGGAAGGGAGCTCATCAGGGATACGATGCCACAGCGTCCCCCAAAGCGGCCATTTTCTCCAGGGGAACTGCTTTCTGTATCCTGGAGAGCCATCTGGAGGTTGGCAACGCTACTTGATGCTTCTGTGTAAGACAGAAACTCCCTCAAAGGTTATGCTCCCCCAGCCCAATTTGAGAAAGCACACGGCAGTCTTGTAGAGGAGAATCAGATCTTGTACTTTATTGATCAACAAAGGAGGGAGGTAAAGATCCAATAAGGTTTTGGACCCCACAGCTCTTCCTAAGGTTACAATGGGAGACATAGGGTTTTATACCCCCTATGACAGCTAGAAATAAAACAGAATTATTGGTTCCATCAAGCACTGTCAAATTTCACCTATTTCCCATTGGGTTAAGACCGGGGGGGGGTGTGTGTGTTCCCGGGCAGAGTTCTTATTTTCCTAACAAAACAATACACTTTTCTTTCGGAAGCTATGAAGTTGCATGTTGTATCTATATAACTGATATGGTTACAGAGTGCTTACTGTTCTTCATTCTAGCTAGGCTAACTGACATCAGAAACATGTGCAGTTGTAGCTGGCCAGAACGAGCAAGGTCACTGTAGTATGATTGCCTGTCAGCATTTAGTCATTTTACCCAGGATGCTTTTAAACAATGAACCAAAGTGAATATCTGAATATATGTTCATGACTGATTTCAGTCACTGTGATTAGAATCATCAAAGGCACTTAACACATGCACCATGGAAGTGTTAAGAGCACCTACTAAGTTCAACCTGTTAGGCAGTGGCAGAGTACAAAGTGGTTCATAAAATGTGCGTACAACATTAGTGTTTCAGGAAACCCAAGACTCTTTCAGGGGAGAGTCTGCAGCAGACTTACTAATGTGGCTACTGAGGCTTGCCAACCTCCAGGTAAGGCCTGGATATTTCCCAACTGATCTACAGGATACAGAGATCAGTTCCCCTGGAGAAAATGGCTGCTTTGGAGGGTGGATTCCGCGGCAGTTTACCCTGCAGAGACCCCTCCCCCAAACCCTGTCCTCCCCAGCTGCACCCTCAGATCTCCAGGAATTTCCCAGCCCAGAGCTGACAACGCTATATTCTTTGCCCCCGGAATTTCTAAAAACAGGGTTAGGGGTGTTAATTGCCTGAGATGGGGTTGGGTGTAGAAGAGGTTTCAAGACGCACTCATCACTTCTTGAACATGAACTCACAAATGCTTTCACACATACTTAATAACGCACTTTCAGTCCATTTTCAGTGCACTTTGCAACAGGATTTTACTGTGTGAAATGGCAAAATCCACCTGCAAAGGGATTGAAACGGCATTCTTTAGCACGTGTCTCCCCTTCAGAGAGAACCCTAAAAGGTGAAGAAATAGGGCCTAGGCATATAGCCTTTTCCCAGACCTTCCAAGCCAGAGGAAAGCGGCAGAAGGATTCCCTAAAAGGTTAATTCCACTGAGTTCGGCTACGCTTCCTAGAAAGGTCTGAGGAGGGAGGGGAAAACGATAATGTCAGACGGGAGACGATTAGAACAGCCCCCTCCTGACCCACTCCCCTCTCCAGCCCTGATGGCTTTTGAATTGGTGGTACTCTGTGAAATAAACCGGGGAGGGGGGCTGCAGGCCGGTTGCATGAATGAGCTCCCCGCCCCCTTCCAAAAGAGGTGAGTGAAAAGGGACAGGATCGAAGCCCTAAGTTCCAGCGAATGCACAACGGCAAAAGGCAGGATTCCCCCCCCCCCCCTCTTCAAGAGAGCGACACAGGATGATAGCCAAATCCCCCCCCGGGGGGGGGCGGGGAGGAATGCATGCCTAAGAGCTGGGGGCGGGGAGAGAACAGTGGCTGGTTTCCAAATAGATTCTGGCTATTCCAATTTTGGGAAGGAGACCAGGGAGGGAAGGGTGGCAGGTTTGGTTGCTGCTGGACACAGCCGCAGTCCACGAAAGGAAATGAGGGAGACATAACTTTAAGCAGCCTCACCCGGTTCGAACCCATCTCACAGTGTATTTATTGCAGGTCGCTTCCCATACTGTGCACCTTAGTGGACTGAAGGGTGAATCGATTAGATTTACCTAGGAACAAAAAACAACAACAAAACCCAACACCCTAAGCTGAAGCAATTAGGGGAAAAATACCATTAGATGATACCTAAGTGTGCTGTATAGGAGCTGCGGTGGCTCAAGTGGTTAAGACCTGAACTGCAGGCTGTGGAAGGTCAGTAGTTCAGCAGTTCGAGACCCGAGTTGCTGCATGATGGAGTGAGCTCCCATCTCTAGTTCCAGCTCCTGCCAACCTAGCAGTTCGAAAGCAAGAAATTGCAAGTAGCTAAATAGGTACCGCTTCGGTGGGAAGGTAACAGCCTTCCGTGCACCTTGGTGTTTAGTCATGCCGGCCACATGACCACGGAAACGTCTTCGGACAGCGCTGGCTCTTCGGCTTTGAAACGGAGATGAGCACTGCAACCCTAGAGTCGGACTCGACTGGCTTTCGAGCAAGGGAACCTTTACCTTTAAGTGTGCTGTAGCAGTAAGGCTTGTTCCAGTTATCTTTGCAAGATGGTATTTCTTGCATTTTTTGGCTCTGTCTCTCTCTTCATTTGGTTGGAATAGTTTGCCACTGTGTATGCTTGAAACCAGAAAATTGCAGAGGGCTTGGCCTACTAACAGTTGGTTCTGGTCACTACAGAAGAACCTCCATGTACAGAGGCAGTGTACCTCAGAGTACCAGTTTGTGGGACAAACAGCCGGACAGGTCGTTGCCTGTATGTCTTGCTTATGGGCCGAATCTGAAGAGCTCTGCTGGATCAGACCACTGGTCCATCTAGTTCAGCATCCCTTCTCACACAGTGGCCAACCAGTTCCTCGGGAGGGCCAACAAAAGGGCAGAGAGGCCCAGGCCTTCCCCTGAGGTTGCCTCCTGGCACTGGGGTTCAGAGGGTGATTTCCTCTGGATATGGAGCCTCCCTTCAGTTACCGTGACTAGTAACCACTGATAGAGCTGTCCTCCATGAATCCGGAAGTAACCACTAGTAACTACTCCTGTCTGGTAGACCTGTCCTCCATGACACTGGAGGATTGTTGTGAGGGAAAAAAATGGAGAAAAGGAGAATGACATAAGCCACTTTTGGGGAGAAAGGCCGGATATGAAGGAAGTAAATAAATAAATTACGGGAGCAAAGGGCCAGGCCTATAGAGTTCTGCACTTGTGTACATATCTGTGAGAGAATGATCTTACGGTATTACTGAATGGCAGCTCGAGACATAAAACTGACTTCTCTGCTAATTCTGCTAAACTGTTTTTCTTTGCTAGGAGGAGGCATCCGTCGTGCTGACTAAGCACACCGCCACGCTGCCTCTGTTTGACTAGAGAAGCTTTTCACACAGAAACGCCACTCCTTCCGGAAGGATCCACCGTCTGCCAGCCTGACTTGGTTCCAAAAGTGCCGCTCTGTTGACCCAACAGCACCCCTTCCCACCAAAGAGCTTTTCCGTCTGTGGACGAGAGGAGGGAGAGTTTTGCCAATTCCTCCCCTTTGGCTTCAGGTTCCCAGTTTCCCCCACACTGCCCCTTTGGGTCCATTGAACAGTGGGGGGGGGGCAACGGGGGTGGGGCCCACAGAGGTTTGTACTGGGCAGGGGGCAGGAAACAGGGACACTGCATTTCTTTCAAGCAACCCCACTTGCATTGGTGAGAATCCATGGCAGAGGTGAGAGAGTACCTCCTCTTCAGAATGAGAGATGGTGGATTTGAGAACACGAGTGGAAGAGAAAATGTCTAAAGAGGAGAGGGCCACGGCAGCCCCACATCTGGACATGGACAAAGAGACACTCCCAGGAGCTGAATCATGGAAGGAGATGGGGGGAAGAACAGGAAGAAGGCTGCAGGTAACAGAATGCTGACCGCACCGAGGAGTCGGGAGTCTCTTGAGAGGTTCAACAGTAGATAGATGTTGAAACCCACTGAAAGACCTGGGTTCAAATCTCTGCTTGGTCATGATGCTCACGGGGTCATTCTAGAGTCAGTCTTTGGGTAGGATCCTGCAGAAGGTTGCCCCAATGGAAGTGCCCTGAAAACCCTACAGGGTTGCCATAAATCGGCTGTGACTCTATGGCAGTTTCCACCGCCTCATAGTACTTCAACAGTGCTATAACGGGAAGAAAAACTACACAATTTTTTTTTAAAAAAAATCAATCAAAATTGATTGAAGAACAAAGTTGAAAAGCCTGGGTTCTTTGGGGGCAGGGCCTGACCCTTATCTAAATGCTTCCTCATATCTGAATGGTTTTCTTACTGCTGTTTCAGGTGCAGGGGATGTTAGAGGAGGCGGCTGTGAACTCCGCTAAGGCAGGACAGGTTCCATCAGAGCCGGACGACAAGTTGAGTTTAACGGGTAAGGGCCTGTTGTGTCTGAACTGCTCAAAGCAGCCAAATCCCTAAGGCAGCTTTCCATGTGCAAGGGGGGGGGGACCAGTTTCAGAAAATAAGTGGAAGGCCTACGTCATCACAAAGCAGTGAGCAAGCATTCGGGTTCCCCAGAATTCTTCATCTGGCTGGGATGTTTCGTAACACCACAAATGGGAGTGAGTATAAGTGTGGTTAAGACACTGAACTGCAGGCTGTGGAAGGTCGGTAGTTCAGCAGTTCGAGACCCGAGTGTGCCGCATGACGGAGTGAGCTCCCGTCTCTAGTTCCAGCTCCTGCCAACCTAGCAGTTCGAAAGCAAGAAATTGCAAGTAGATAAATAGGTACCACTTTGGTAGGAAGGGAACAGCGTTCCGTGTGCCTTGGTGTTTAGTCATGCCGGCCACATGACCACGGAAACGTCTTCGGACAGCGCTGGCTCTTCGGCTTTGAAACGGAGATGAGCACCGCAACCCTAGAGTCGGATTCGACTGGCTTTCGAGCAAGGGAACCTTTACCTTTACCTTTATAAGTGTGCAGGAGAAACACCACTGACTTGCAAACTTTCCTAAAACAAACAAGATTGGAGATAGTGGGGTTGCCAGCCTCCAGATGGGGTCTGGAGTTCTTCCGGAATGACCACTGATCTCCAGGTGACAGAGATTGGTTTCCCTGGAGGAAAGGGCCGCTTTGGAGGCAGACTCTATGGTATTTTCTACAGTAGAAAAAGGTCATCTACTACCTGAGACACTTTTAGCCGGAGACACTAATAGCACTGTGTTCTCACCTTCCTTCTGCCTATGTGCAGAACTGTAGCTGAAGGCTTGTTTGATAGAACTTTAAAACTGGATTTTGATGCTTGGTACGTGTTGTTACAGGAGTGAATTGTGATTACTAGAGTTCATACTGCTGCAAAAAAAAAAAATCCTCCTGTTTGAAGGTGCATGTATACGTGGGGATACCAGTGGGAGACTGGGGGGGGGGGACATCAGCATCATCATGATGTCACTTCCAGGGAAACCCAGAAGTGATGTCTCACCTCTCTAGGAATTAGTGGAAACTATGGTAAAACCATTGAGTTGCTGATGATTCCTAAAGAGGTCTGACGTTACTTCTGTAGGAACCCCAGATGCAATGCCAGTCCTCTCTAGGAACTGCCAACATTTCTGTGGTTTTGCTATAGAGTTTCTAGTGATTTCTAGAGCGATGTGATAGCACTTCCAGATTTATGTGGAAGCAACACCATGCTGTTGCTGACATAATTTCCCCCCCTTCTCCTGTCAGCCACTGAAGTGCTAGCAGGCACATGGCAACCCTATCAATCCATGGCCCTTCCAAATGGGTTCCCTAAAATTTAATTTTACTGCTCTCTCCAACTGGTCTTGAGCTGGAGGTTTTATTCATTATAGTTAAGAATATAAGAGAGGTCATGTTGGATCAGGCCAGTGGCCCATCCAATCCAACACTCTGTATCACACAGTGGCCAAAAACCAGGTGCCATCAGGAGGTCCACCAGCGGGGCCAGAAGCCCTCCCACTGTTGCCTCCCAAGCACCAAGAAGACAGAGCATCACTGCCCCAGACATAGTGTTCCATCTACACCTTGTGGGTCATAGCCACGGATGGACCTCTGCTCCACGTGTCTATCCAGTCCCCTCTTGAAGCTGTGTTTGTAGCCACTTCTTGTGGCAGTGAATTCCATGTGTTCGTTCTTTGCTTTATCTTGCAGCTGTTGGGCAGGTGCATGAGGATTTGGGGAATAGTCTTCAGGAGGAAGGTAGTGAGCCTGTGGGACCAAGGGACGCATCGGTGGAAAGGAGCAATCTTCTCTGGTATTGCAAACAGGCAGCAAGACTAGGGAGTCAGCAAGCCCCTGGTGGTGAGGGGGGGCATGATCCAATGGAGCGTGTGGATGAAGCACATCTCTGTTGGGAAGGCAACTTACATAGGGATGAACCCCGAAACCGTGATTGTGGGGGACTAGAAACATGTGCTGATGAAGAAGGAAACTTCAGACAGAGGCCTGGCCTTCTAAAATGCCGAAGAACACACGTGGGAGTGAAACGATACAAGTGCTCGGCGTGTGGCAAGAGCTTCAGCCGAAGCACCAACCTCCTGGTCCACGAAAGGACCCACACGGGAGAGAAACCATACGAGTGCGCAGACTGCGGGAGAAGCTTCACCCACAGCTCCAATCTCAGGGCACATGAGAAAATCCATGCAGGAGACAAACCATATGTATGCGCAGACTGCGGGCTGACCTTCTACAACAGCTCAAGCCTTACGGCCCACGAGAGAATCCACACTGGGGAGAATGTGTACAGATGCCCGCACTGTGAGAAAGTCTTCACCCGCAGCTCTGTCTTCCGGAAACACGTGAGAATCCACACGGGGGAGAAACCTTTCAAATGCTCCGACTGTGGGAAAGGCTTCTCGCAGAGGTGCAACCTTATTATACACGAGAAGACCCACACGGGGGAGAAACCCTTTAAGTGCTCCGACTGCTGGAGGAGCTTCAGTCGGAAATGTGACCTCGTGGCGCACAAGAGAATCCACACAGAGGAAGACCCCTATAAATGTTCCCACTGTGGGAAGAGCTTCTCTCAGAAGTCCAACCTGGTGATCCACGAGAGAATCCACACGGACGAGAACCCGTATCTGTGCTCGCACTGCGGGAAACGCTTCCGTCAGAAGGGAAACCTCGTGATCCACGTGCGGATCCACACGGGAGAGAAGCCATACCAGTGTACAGACTGTGGGAAGAGGTTTAGTCAGAAGGGTAGCCTCACGTCACACGAGAGAATTCACTCAAAGGAGAAGAGGACCATTTAACAGTTTGTCCAAGGGGTGGGGAGTGGGGGGGGGTTGCTTTTCCGGTTTGCTTCCACTTTAAGCAGAGTTTACATTATTTAAAAATACCGTATTTTAGAAAAATATAGCACTGAACACATCGTCCAAAGCATTCACAAATCCCATTACTTTTTTAAATACAATATGCCAGTAAAGGTTGATTGATTGATTGATCGAAATCCCATTAATCAGACAATTGAAGGAATGGCCCATTAAGGTATTTTATAATGAACAAAACGGGGGGGGGGGGGGGGGGGGGGGCCACCAAAGCAAAATTATTTTAATCGCACAGCCAATCAGATCTGTAATGGCTAATCAAAAGCCCTACTGGGCAGGAGACCCGTTTTCTAAAAACACTGGGAGGCACCACGAAAGGTATTGGCAGGTGCCGTACTGCCCATAGGCACCATGTTGGGGAACCGTGCTTTAAAGGCATGAGAAGGCCAATTGCTTTCCACCCCTTTTTCCTTCCTGTCAACGGCTCTCAACATTCCGAGGGTAATGAGCATGCTCAGTTCTCACCAGGCTGCTTACTGGCTGGAAGCCATTGACGGATCTCTCCTCCATGAATCTGGAGGAGCGTTCCTTGTGAATTTTTCAAATTACTGTTTTTCTGCATATGTAGGGAATTCCTTGAACATGTAGAAACCCCGACCTCGTCTGAGACTCCTATACAATATGCACTTGCTCTTGAGGTTTCATAAAATCATAGAATCATAGAGTTGGAAGGGACCTCCAGGGTCATCTAGTCCAACTCCCTGCACAATGCAGGAAATTGACAAATAGCTCCCCCATACCCTCAGTGACCCCGTCCCATGCCCAGAAGATGACAAAAAAACAACAACCCAGGATCCCTGGCCTACCTGGCCTAGAGAAAAAATTGCTTCCTGACCCCAAAGTGGCGATCAGCATTTCCCTGGGTGTGTAAGAAAGGGCCACGAGAACTAAGCACTGATGCAACCCTTCCTGCCCTCCCTCTCATGATCTTCCCAAGTTCACACAATCCGCATTGCTGTCAGATGGCCATCTAACCTCTAAAGAAGGAGAGCCCATTACCTCCTGAGGAAGCCTGTTCCACTGAGGAACCGCTCCAACTGTCAGGAAGTTCTTCCTAATGTTTAGCTGAAAACTCTATTGATTTAATTTCAACCTGTTGGTTCTGGCCTGACCTTCTGGGGCAACAGAAAACAACTCCGTTATTAACTGTGGCCTGACAAGGAATATTCTCCTCTTTTTGGGATTCTGAAAGTTTTCGGAGAGTTCAGCAGCCTGGTTTCCCCATTTCCCTCTCCCCCCCCCCTCAAATGCTGTCAGCGTTCCATGCCTCCTAGAACATGCTCAGTCCTCAACAGGCATTGGGTGTGAAGGCAGGTTTTGTGCTTTTGTGACTGACCACCTGATTTATATTACATACGTTAAGTGTCGTCAAGTTGCAACCAACTTATGGCGACCCCAGCGAAGGGCTTTCAAGACCAGTGAGAAGGAGAGATGGTTTGCCCTTGTATTCCCCTGCAGAGTCTTCCCGGGTGGTCTCGTATCCAATACCAACTCCGCTTAGCTTCTGGGATCTGATGAGATTGGCTCATACCATGCCGCCTCCCACCCACCCCCAATTTATATCAGACATAGCAATAATGATAATCAGTCATCGAGTTCAATCTGTTGTTTTCAGTCTTAGAAGAAGATCTTCGGAATCTTTATTTCATAGCTGGTCTGTTTTTTCAAAGACTCTTCCAAAAATGTCTACCAAATGTAAGTCTAGCACTAACTGATGGCTATAAACTCAGTCCTGATGGTCTTCAAGTGTTGTGTACTTCACATAGTTTAAAAGAAATGCTGTTGGCTCCCGAGGTGAACAGACATGCAAGAATAAGTAAGCCCTGGGTTCCTTAGGGCATAGCTACATGCCATTTGTCAGTCCTGTGACTGTCAAACTAGACAGGTGCTGGGACTGCTGTGTTGAAATCATTCTCAGGTACACATGTGGACTTAATTCAGTACATGGGGAGCGTTAAGCCATAAGAACCAGCTTGGTGTAGTGGTTAAGAGTGGTGGACTCTAATCTAGAGAACCGGGTTTGATTCCCCACTCCTCCACATGAAGCAAGCTGCATGACCTTGGGTCAGTCACAGATCTCTCAGAGCTGTTCTCTCAAGAGCAGTTTCTGTCAGAGTTCTTTCAGCCTCACCTACCTCACAGGGTGCCTGTTGTGGGAAGAGGAAGGGAAGGTGACAGTAAGCTGCTCCAAGATTCTTTCAGGTAGTGAAGAGTGGGGCATAAAACCTCCTCCTCTTCCCGCCTCCCTCACACATCAGTTTCTCAACCTGTAACATTCCTGTGAAACTGCTATTTATTCCATTGGGAAAGCTTACATTTACAAATGGACTACATATAAGTTTCCACAATGGGTGAACTTGGCAACCAGTTGGAGGATGGGGGGGACATGGGGGACTTCTAATGTCACCAATGTCACTACATCACTTCCAGGTAAAACCTGGAAGTGGGAATGGATAGCTCTAGGAATGGCTGGAAACCCTACGGCAAAACCATAGAAATTTTTGGTGATTCCTAGAGCTACTCATAGTCATTTCCAGGTTGTACCCAGAAGTGACACCGTGATGCAGAGGCCAGCAGCAATGTTTTTCTTTATTTTTTCCCCTGCCACTTCAAGCAGCGACAGACAACAAAGATAATCTACTCTATCAATGGGACTCCCTGGGATGATTTTAGGTTGAGAAAATGTTGTGAGTGGAGGCTTAAAACCCCTCTGTCCATGTCATTTTCCCTTCTTTTTTTCCTCTTCCGTGTTCTGCCATTTTTCCTTCTGTCCTTTGTCTGGCTTGCTCTGTTGTTTCACCTTTATTCTTCCTTCCTCTTTTCTGTCCCCCCCATTTTTCCTTCCTTTCTTTTTCCTGTTCTGCCATTTCCCCTTCCTTCCTTTCTCTGTTTTTTCTTCCCCTCATCTCCCTGGGAAGCAAACAAAAGCCAAGAACAAAATGGGCACCTGACAGAGAGATGGAAATGTCTTATTTGTGGGTTTAGGTTTATATACCGCCTTATAGAAAAAACAAAAAAACCCTCTCAGGGTAGTTTGCATCAGAAGCAGATAAAATCACATAAATTTACAATGACCTCAATGGAAGAGCATTAAATGCAGACCCATAATTCCTAGCGACAGTAAAAGAGAAGCCATGAAATGCAGCCGTAAACCATCCACCCGGCAATTAAAGGGCACGCAATAAAAGGCAGACATAAACCAGCCAACAGCAGTAAAAGCAGCTCTGAAAGCCAACAGATCTCTTAGCCGAACAACGATGGTTAAAAGCTCACTCTCAGAATTCCAGATGGAGCTTAAATTGCCTCCCTCTCAGCCATGAAGTGATCATGGGATATAGCTAATGCTCCGGGATAGGAAGTGGCTGCAGGGTACCTCTTTGTTCTCATGTTATATTTTCAGTTGAGGGGTGCTTTTCTTCATTCTAAAAAATGTAGCTTTCATTTTGAATTTAGCTTTCTGTTAGGACGGGGGTCCCCAATGTGGTGCAGTGGTGACACCTTTCCTGGTTCCTGTCAAGTGTTTAAAAAAGTGTGTGGGGCCAGGTGGGGTCATTGCCCATTGGAGGTTTGATTGGTTATACACATTTCTGAAAACACTGCCTTTGGCAGTAGCTGCCACCACACAACACAAGGGTTTTCCCAGTGGGGGTGAAGGTAATCTGCAGCAGCCATTTTATGGCTGGCTGTGCCTCCTCCTGAGGCAGTCATTGTGTGGAGGCCATTTTGTGGCTGCGCCCACCACACTGTGGCCAAATTCCAAAGGTGCCTACAGGCTCAAAAAGGTCGGGGGGCCCTTTGTTAGGAGAATAAAAATCTCCCTTTTCAAGCTGGCTGACTGCTGCTCCATCTTCCCAAATGAGAAACGGTTGACAAGCCTCAGGAAGATATAGCACACACAGCCCCTAGGAATAACCAGAAACTCTGTGTTTTTACCATAGAGTTTCTGATGATTCCTAGAGATGTGGGATGTCACTTCTAGCTCTTTTCCTAAAAGTAATGTCAAGCTGTTGCCACTGGTCACCCCCATGTCCCTACCCCCTGGTCTGTTGGTTGCCTACCCTATTCAGAAGCCATAGTTGGTAACCTGCACGGCCAGTCATAAAATGGCTGTCATTGGGAGTAGGACTTCCCCACTGCTGTTCCAAGTTGTGGCAGGAGAAAAATTAAGCCTTGTGTTCTTACCAGAAGTTCATACGGGAAGTGACAAAGGGTAGGTCTAGGAATCACCAGATGCTCTGTGGAGTTTCTGTTGATTCCTAGATAGGCTTGCCAAGTCCCCCCGGGGGGCGGGGAACCCCCCGCCCCAGAGGCCCGTTCTCCGCCGCTGGCGGATCGGGCCCCGGGGGGAGCCCCACCCCGACGTGCACGTCACCCGGAAGTGACGCGACCACACCGGGGGCGGGGCCACAGTCATCCAAGGGAAAACTCTATGGTTTTCCCTCGGATGGTCTTGGCCCCGCCCCCAGCGTGCCCGTCGTCGTCACGTCACTTCCGGGTGATGTGCGCGCGAGCTCCAGGCGCCAGCCGACACCCGACTTGGCAACCCTATTCCCAGAGCAAGCTTTTGTAACTTCCTGTATATAGGCCACGTTCAGACTGGCAGTTTGGCCCGGCAGGCAAACGTTTCAGGAGCGTTTCAGGAGCGGATTAAAGGGGTGGGTTCACACAGCCACATGTTTCAGGCGTCCCCCAGCCATTCTCAAGTCGTCTTGTGCCGCTTCCAAGTTTAAAAGATACCTGGTGGAAGTGGTAGCAAATCGTGTGGAGTGCAGGTTGATTCCGGTTCCCTGAGTGTGAACGCAAGTGCTGCTAAGGTGGGAACAACCCGCAGTTGATAATAGGTGCCAGCTGGTTCCATGGCAGGTGCATGTGCTCATGGCCGGGATGCTCCGTTCCAAGTCTATTCCGGGTTTTTCTTTGCCACG